ATCTGGCTTTACTTCAGTGTAACCACTTGGCTTTAGTGAAGGGTCCTTTCGCTCACGATGGATCGGAGAGTCTTTCTTTCCTAACCGCCCAAGCGGAGGGGGCTGCCGCCAAGGCTTGACACCCGTCTCTTTCGTCCCAAGGCGGAAATGACCGAGATGGATGGATTTCAGGCAGACACCGAGGAAGATGATGACGATGAGTGCACCATGGTAGATGTACAGCCAAGCCACGGCAAGCTGGCTAATTCAGGTAGATTCTTGCTTATTCAAAAGTTCCACAGCTGGGGTGTGTGTGTGTGTATGTGTGTGTGTGTGTGTGGGGAACCAAGCTGGCTAAACATCAGTATTGCATGAAGACCAGTCCACCAGACCCAACTTAAGTTGAGAAAGACCTCTAACCCAAACTAGTTGAGACCCTCGGCCGGTCCCAGAACAATAACTTGTATTAAACCAGCAATGTCAGCTTGGTGTGGTGGTTAAAAAGCATGGGACTAGAAACCAGGAGGCTGCGAATTCTGGTCCTGCCTTAGGGATGAAACCAATTAGCTGTCCTTGGGCCAGTCCTTCCCTCTCAACCCCAAAAGGGAGGGGAAAACCACGTCCCCAAACGTCTGTAGGGATTCTCAGTCACATCCAGGTCACAGTTGTCCCGAAGGTGCTTTTTTTCAGGAGGGAACTGGATTTTCTTGTTTCTTTCTTTGAAGGCGTTTCACTTTTCATCCAAGAAGCTGCTTCAGCTCTTTTCCAGAGGCAACTGGACTTTCTGGTTGTTTTTCTTTGAAGACGTTTCCCTTCTCATCCCAGAAGCTTCTTCAGCTCTGACCAGATGGTTGGGAATGGATTTATACCCCTTGCAGACAGCTGGTCATTTGCATCCTTTGAGAGGGTCCTTGAGGCCACTTGAGGTGTATCTGTGTCCTCAGGGTCACCTGTGTGGTGCTTTCAGTTACCTGAAAAAGCCACCTTGGAGCAACCATGACCTGGGTGACTGAGAATCTCTACAGACGTTGAGCTATACAATTTGGGATGAACCCTCTTTGAAGTGACCTCAACAACCCTCTCGAAGGATGCAAACGACCAGCTATCTGCAAGGAATAGAAATCCTTCCATTCCCCACTATCCTGTCAGAGCCGAAGAAGCTTCTTGGACGAGAAGGGAAACGTTTTCAAAGAAAAAAGGGGGAAGCCCAGTCGCCTCCTGACAAAGCACTTTTGGGACACTTCCCCAAACCTTGCAAAAGAAGCTTGGATGCTGGTTAGTCCAGGTAGTCACCAAGAATCCAGAGTCACTCAAGGCAATAAAGAAAATTAGAAATAAACAAGAAATAAAGTTCAGTTACAATTCAGTTCAAATCCATTCACAGTATGGATGGAATTTTTATTTTTCATTTTAGCAGCAACCATCCCTCCTCTTTCCAGAAACTTGCTTTCAATATTCAACAAGCAGTGATCGTTAAAAAAAAAGAGGTGCCTCACAAAAGGCAGGAAATTCCTTCGAGGTGTAGTGGTTACGGTGTTGGCCCAGGAAACAGGAGTTCTAGTCCTGCATTAGGCATGGAAAGCCAGCTGGACGACTTTGGGCCAGTCCCCAGGAGGCTCCGAGTTCCAATCCCGCCTTACGCATGAAATCCTGCCTCTTGGGCTCAGCCCAGCTCACCTCAAAGGGTTGTTGAGAGAAGGAATATAGAAGGAATATTACGCACGCCCACCACCGTGAGTTACTTACAATAGGTCATCCCAAAAGGTACTTTTTCAGGAGGCAACTGGACTTTCTTGTTTTTTTTTTTCTTTGAGGACGTGACCCCTGGGACACAGACCAACCTCCAAGCGGCCTCAATGGCTCTCTCAAAGGATGCAAATGACCAGCTGTCCGCAAGGAATACAAATCCTTCCATTTCCCAACCATCCAGTCAGAGCTGAAGAAGCTTCTGGGAGGAGAAGCGAAACGTCTTCAAAGGAAAACCACCAGAAAGTCTAGTTGCCTCCTGAAAAAAAGTACCTTTTGGGACAACCATGACCTGGAGGACTGAGAATCTCCATCGGGTGTTATAATAGGTCCTGCTACACACCCAGCTTCAACGGGGCTACGTTCTGACCCAGCTTCCCAAACACAACACAACCTCTGAAGCGAACTCAAAAGATTCCTTTTATCAGGAATGCCGGCAGCCCCAGGAAAAAGTTCCTCTCGCAGGCTAAGAAGTCCGTCTGTCCGGAAGACGAATCGTTGTCTGCCACACCGATTCATATCCGCCCCCTGCCTTTTATCCCTCAGACCTAGGGTGAGACTTCACTAGCAGCAGCGGCTCTTCCATCCCAAGGACCGGCCCATAGATTTCCACTGCTCTCCTCTCCTCTGCCTTCTGTTCATCTGCACATCAGGCGCTGGACACAGCTATTCCTCCTCTTCCTCATCAGCCACCTCCAGACCTGGGGGCTGTTGACTCCCCGTCTGAGGGCTGACGGACGGCCCAGGCTCTGCACCTCTCTCTCTCTCTCCCCCGTTTCAGCTGTTGGAGGTGTCGGCAGCCAAGAGGCCACAACAGGGTGGTAGAATAGAAGCCGCAGTCTCTCTTGCACCGGTCTCCCCATATTTATATTGGAGTTTCCCCATTTTCACAGGAGGTGCCCTGGCAAAGATGCCGGGCTTCCCCCTCTAGGCCTTACCGAAATTAGGAAGCCGTTTTTTTTTTTTAAAAAAAATGATGTTGTTGCCTTTGCAGCGCCGGAACGGAAGACCTCCAAAGCAGAACCAGCTGCCGCGGCTGCCGGAAACTTCCCTGAGACCTTTTGATATATGCATCCCTATTCTTTCCCTCCTCCGCTCCCCTTTTTGTACGTACGTAGAATTCTTTTAGCTTATTGTAAAACCCTTGTGTATCTTTCTTTTTTTTTTTTCTCCCCCCGTACGAGATACTTGAACATACTGTGTTCCTTGTAAAGAGAAGACAGCACTTTGTTCGGCTCCAAACCGGTGGACGCTCAAGACGTATTTTTTAGAGGCGTAGGGGAATCAAACAAAGGGCATATAATCACTTCTAATAAAAGCATTATTGAATTTTTGATGGGCACTGGAGAAGGCACCGCGATTCTTCTTTTTTTTTTAACCCCCACCTAAATTTGAAAAGGGTTTAATCTTTGGGTTGAGGGTGGCTGCTCACGTGAAATCTTGCTTGGCTGTTTTCTTGAAGACATTTCATGACCCAGCTAGGTAACATCATCAATGCTTGGAAGGTGTGTGGGGTTTGCTCTCTGTTTATAAACAAGTGGCTTGTCAGTATTGGTGGGGGCGTTCTTGGTTCCTTGATTTTGCTGTTGTATGTTGTTGGTTTTTTGGTCTGAGTTGGTCAGGCAAGACAGAGAGCAAACCCTTCTAGCACTGATGACGTTACCTAGCTGGGTCATGAAATGTTTGTAAGAAACCAACCAAGGTCAGAGGAAACCAAGGACCCAGGCCCTTTTCCTCCCCCTCCTCCCATAACTCCCACACCCTTAGCACTGATATTATTACCCAGTTGGGTCATGAAATGGGGAGCACCAAGGGCCTCACAGTTCAACTCTGAGCTACAAAATATTTCCTTCTATTGACAAGAGGTCTCTGCATCTCACGCTTTTTCCGAGTTCTAACTCACCTTTCCAAGCAAACCGTTTTTTCCTCCCTCTTTCATGGCAGCTGCAAGCGGAGGTGAACGTTTTGCAACCATCCCACTGTGCCCTTGTGGTCCCCTCCGAAAGCCCCGATCCTGTCCCTTCTGGGCTTTCAACAAGCAAGCGCCTTCCACTGAATCCCTCCCTCCCATCAAGCAGGTATAATTCGCTGACAAGTATGATTTCCTTCAGCTCTGTTCAGGGAGCTCTACATGGGGGGGGTGTCAAACTCAGTTTCATTGAGGGCTGCATCAGGGCTGTGGTTGACTTTGGGGGGGGGGGCGACTGGGGGTGTGTGGCCCACTTGACACCACTCCCCAAACCGCTGGCATTGTGTAAAACAGGCCAAAGCCACAAGATTTCAAGACAGATGATTTTAGCGAGTTGTTTCTCCAGCTTGACAACTTGCAGACCTGTGGAGGTCCAACTCCCAGGATTCCCCTGCCAATCTAGCTCATAATTTAGGCGGCTCCAGGGATTCAGATCAAGATCTTATCTTGTAAAGATGCTGCTAGAAAGGGCCAATCATAAGACTTCCGACACACTTCTAGCAGCATCGGCCTTAGGCTATTAAAAGCAGCCGAGTCTCCATTCCAGGAACACGGGTCTGTTTCAGCAACAGGCAGTATCAGATCCACCTTCCGGGACTAATCCCTCGAGCCATTCGATAATTGCTGTTGTGGCCCGCCATTGGCCAGCAGAGCTGGCGGCAGACTTGGACAGCGAGGAAGTTGGGGAGGAACCTGGGCCAGTCCTGGAAGGCTCTGATGAGGGCTCTGCATTGGAGGCAGAGATGGGGCCAGGGCCGTTCGACAGTTATCAACTGCCATCAGAGTTGGAGATCAGTGGGGAAGAAGAACAGCTGGAGCCTGTTCCCAGTGTGCGCATGCACAGCGCTGCCAGATGAAGGGAACAGTTAAGGAACAAGGGTCGACTCGGGAGTAAAGGCTCAGGTGGATGGTGAATGGCCCCTCCCAGAGGGAAGAAAGAAGAGCGAAAGGGGTTTTGCAGGAGACAAATTAGTTCATTAGGGTGAAGATCTGTTCCTGACATCATGCTAAGTATTGTCTGCTACAGCGTGACGTCTGAAAGATTATCGTCCTGGCAATTCTCCAAGCCTGATAAAGGTCTGTAATTGTGGGATCTCTTGAAAGACTGTTCGCCGGGACTTTGCTGGAGAGGAATTCGAACCTTTGACCTAAATATAAGGGTTTTTTTTTTTAAATCAGGACGAGGAAGTCTGCTTCATGATCTTGGGGAGCCTAGGTCAGAACAATCACCCCCCCCCCCCCCAAACACACAGCCAATCAAACATTTTGAACAGCTGCCTTTCTTTTAAACATCAAAACAGGATTCATTGTACAGTTTTTATGCCTCACACTTTGGTTATGAATCTGTTTGGGGAAAAAAGATACATCAATTAAATCCAGAGCCTTCTTGGAAAAAAAAAAATGGATATTTTTTTGCGGGGGTGGGGGCAGCAGGGAAAGAAAAGGACTTTTTCGTCTTTATTTGAGCCCATGGACAAAACCGGAAACCGTTCACCCCAGACTGCTACAATGGGGGTGAGGCAGTGGGGGCTGCGTGGCTCCACATTTTCATCTACTCGTCCTGCCCTCCCCAGCACCATCCGAGAAAGCTCTAAAGCAGCGGTCCTTATTCCTCCACCAAGAACAATCGGAGGAAGCGGACAGAAACTATCAAGTCCACAAAAACAGGGCAGACGGAGACTCAAGACAGCCGTACTATCCCCAAGGGATCTGCTCCCACATCTGAGAGACACTCCCACCCCACCCCCCAAAAAAACCAAACATCAGCATTTTTATAAAGGTGCATTTCTTACAATTCCTTCCCCGAAACGGCCTCCTGTAAACATGCTGCGGGAAAAAAAAATAAACCACGGGATTGGATTCTTCAGAACTCTTTCCCACAACCTATAACTGAAGAGCAGCGGCAGCAACAAGCTCTTGTTGGCTAGAGTAGTGTACGCTCCTCCTCCTCCCCATAAAGCTGACAGCTTATCTACGACCTAAAATAATAATAAATTCAATGTGATTCGGGCCCTCCTGTGGGCTTTGTATCGGCGACGCAACCATCAGCCAGAAACACCAGCCAGCGGCCCTGGCAGCGTAACTGGGGTGGGGTGAATCTTTGGGGCGGACCATTCTCCCGTTTGCTCAGCCCGGCTACGCCGACCTTTTTCCACCCCGAAGGTGCTTCAAAGTGAGAAAAAGATCAGTAAAAAGGGGGACCGATGAAACTTCCAACAGACACACACACACACACACACAAAAGTGTGACGAGGTGACGCTGGAAAAATACCCTCCCCCATTGGAGAGTTCCATGGGCCAAGCCCCGGGAAGCTGGAATGGCGGTTCTGCTGGGAGCTGCCCTCGCTCGCCAGCCGTCCGATGCCAGCCAGGAAAGTCACATCTGCGGCTCTAGAGGGCCAGAGAAGCCGGCTTCGGAAGAGTCGGGGACCACACAGGACGGAACCGGATCCAACCCCATGGCGCCTTTTATTTTCAGGAGAGCATCTGCACCGTGAGGAGGAGGTCGGGCTTCAGCACGCTTCCCATGTGCTCCCCCCTGGAGGCCTTGATGTCCTCCATGACCTCCGCGTCCCAGACGAAGGTCAGAAGCGCCGAGGGCACCTGGGCGAGGAAGAAGAGGAAGAAGAGAAACTGAGCAGGGGGTTCTCAAGGCACCGGCGTTGAACTGGGGCAGGTATAAGTCCTTGATTTAACGACTGTGGCAAAAAAAAAAGGTCACAAAACAGAGCAAACCTCAATGTCTCGCTTAGTCGTGGATGTTCTGGGCTCAGTTGTGGTCGTCAGTCGAGGGCTACCGCGTTTCCCCCCAAAATAAGACCCTGTCTTATATGGTTTCAAACAAGCTTCATTGAGTTTCACAATCAGGTGGCGTTTGAGGGACAGCACCTGGCTAGTTGAAATTTGTTCCTCACGGCTTGCTCTCCATCCCAAGGTGGAATAACAGAGTTGGAAGTGACCTTGGAGGTCTTCTAGTCCAACCCCATGCTCAAGCAGGAACCCCTGTCAGCCTTATAAGTCATATTTTACTCGGAAGTTTCGAGGCTGCCACATTCAGTGCCTGGGAATTGGGGAGGAGGGATTTCATACCGAGGTAGAAGATTAGACACAACAACATTTTTTTCTCAGTGTCAAGGACGTGTTGCCCTGCACCTGGAGAGCAGTGTCTTGCGGGATGTCGTGGGGCCTGTGATGGACTGACGGACGCAGGGGATGGATCTTTGAGTTCTCTTTTGGGACGGGAAAACACGGAACTCTCAGATTCGGGTTTTCCCAGATGTGTCAATAGGACAACAACGCTAATAAAATGGAACTGTGAGAGAACGTTCATCTTGGAGTTTGTTGGGCTTGGCGTTGGTTTGTCGGCTTGACTTAACAACTGGCAAGAAAGGTCACCGAATGGAGCCAATATCAATGTCTCACTTAGTCATGGATGTTTTGAGCTCAATTGTGGTCACAAGTTGAGGACTATATGCTGCCTTTAGTAAAAAAAAAAAATGTCTGTGGAGATTCTTTGTTCCAAAGGTCATTTTTTCAAGAGGCAACTGGACTTGAAAAGACCAAAAAAACCGAAGGAACGTTGTCCTTCCATACGTTGCAGGAAGATCAGGAAAGTTCAGGAGAATCTTCAGCCCACCCAACATACGTTCACCCTTCAAACCCAAGAACGTGCTAAGCTTGTCCACCCGTGAGGATAAAACACCCAGACACGAACTATGTCAAAGAGACAAACGACGTCTCTTTGGAGAACAGCAAAGTCCACCTTTTGGACAGAAGAGGACCGCTGGTTTGAAAGAAGGGGCCAAAGAGGCCACCTGTGTCCAAATTGAACAGCCCTCCCTCAACAGACGGGGAGGAAGACGACGTCGCCTATCTCCAATCTACCTGGTCCTTTCAACGGTTCCAAGGAGGCTCCACACCCATTTGCATCACTCAGGTGACCCCGAGGACACAAACAAAACCTCCAAGTGGCCTCAAGGGCTCCCTAAAAAAGGATGCAAATGACCAGTTGTGTCTGCAAGGAATATAAATCCTTCCATTCCCCACCGTCTGGTCAGAGCTGAAGAAGCTTCTTGGCTGAGAAGGGAAACGTCTTCAAAGAAAAACAAAGTTTAGTTGCCTCTTGGAAAAACAAAAAAAGCGCCTTTGGGATTTCGGTGGGAAAGTTCTTAAACCTTCGCAGAGATATTCCGAGATGCGTCTGCCTTGAAAGCAGCCCGTATTAACGATGTCAAAGATGATCACAAAACTATTGATGACGTGAAACAAAAGGTCGTCAAATGGTTTCTTGTGGTCATCTCCTGAGGTTTGACCGTGCTACACGCAGTTTGACACGAGCTTTTTCTGAAGCCAAATCCATCTCGGGAATATCTCCCTGAATTTCTTAAGAACTTTCCCAGAAAATTTAGGCACTTTGCCAGGGTAGAAAGCAAACTGGTGAATTTGGCAAGGAAATCTCTCTGAAATGATGACCAAACGGGTCACAGATTTCTTTGTTGGCCTTTTGAGTTTCTCCCTCAACCTACTTTTTCGTTTATATAATAAAACCAAGAACTCAACAGTTGCACAGAAGCTTCACCTGACATCTTCTCAACCATCTGCTGTTTCTCTCAAAGGCCTACAAGTTTTAAATCTGCACCTGGGCAGAAAACAGTCTTTGATGTCCCTCCTTCTCACCTGCGTCTTTCTCTCTCATCTCTCCTATTTTAATTATTGTCCGGGAATTAAAACAGGAGTAAAGATAAGCCAGTTTTTTCAGCTTATTCAAAGCACCTGTTGCATTCTACGAAGACCCTGTTTTTTTTAAATGCCTTTTTATTTGAAACAATAGAATCATTTTCCTTTTGGATGAAGGTCCACTGGTCTTTAAAAATCAATCCATGGATACAAGGATCGGACAAGATTGAATTTAGGGGTTGAATGAATATCATCGTCTAACCGACAGCGGAGGGAAACTTGTACAGCTTAAGAAGAGGCGGCAGAATTGTGCTCGGAGGAACATGTAACTTTTATTACACAGGTAGTTCTCGATTTACGACAACGGAGCCCCACATTTCTGTTGGCTAAGTGAGACGTTGGTTAAGTGAATTTTGTCCCATTTTACGACCTCTTGTCACAGGTGGGCTCGCAGGCTAAGACTCTGCGGGGCTTGGAGAGCCCCCAATAACCTCAGAAAGACCTGAATAATCAACACCTTTTCAAGGCTTTTTTTTTTCCTTTCTGGGCATTCAGCCAAGAGCATTTCACACCTCGTCAGAGTGTGGCAAGCTAGATAAACAACCCACTCAGTGCTTGCTTGAGAGGGAGCACCATTGAGAAAAATCAGCTAACATTGCCCTTAGCCTTCGAGGGGATTAATTCCCCAATAATAAGAATCACGTAACTCAGTGGCCCCCAACCTTTTTTGTGCCACGGCCCGGTATCGGCATCACAAAATGATCCGCAGCCCGGTACCGGCATCAGCACGCATGACAAGGCAAGGCGAGCCGAGCAACCAGCCGGCCAGCCAGCCGTCCCCCGCTTCTCCCCGCCACCTTCAACTCCTCCTTTGTACCTTTGTCGATGGGCTTCGCTTCGGGACGGTCGCTCGGCTCGCCTTGCCTTGGGTGCTGAAAGAATCCTCGCGCCTTAGTTTCGTTCGAAGCCGCCACCCCCCTTCGATGAAACTAAGGCGCGAGGATTCCTTCAGGACCCAAACGCCGCTTTCCAACCAGAAAAGCTCACCCGGAAGCACTTTCTCATCAAACAAGATGGCGGCGCCCAGCAAACCAGCGGCCCAGTAGGAAATGTTCCACGGACCGGTACCGGTCCGTGGCCCGGTGGTTGGGGACCCCTGACGTAGCTCACCAGAAGCTCCACTAAGACTCCAAGATCCCTCTCACAGTCACTGCTATTAAGCCTGGTTTCACCCAGTCTTAAATGCATGAAATAATAAACAACTTTTTGGTATATTATCTTTTTTTTTTAAAGTAATTAGGGCAAAGAAGTGGACATTGAGTTGGCCACACCTACCCAGTCACATGACCACCCAACCACATGATCACCCAGCCATGCCCACATGATCAGCCAGTCATTGGGGGGGGGGGGAAGAGCTCCTTGCTAAAAATTTTTGAAGCCCACCGTTGCTCTTGCCACATTTGTGAAACGAATTGCTACAGTTGTGAAAGTCAGTCACATGGTTGTTAAGTGAATCTGGCTTCTCTGTCGGCTTGTCAGAAGGTTGTAAAAGGGGGATCACCTGAACCCTGGGACACGGCAACCGTCACAAATACGAGCCAACTGTCAGGCGTTGGCCCAAATGTTGTTCAGGTGTCCACGGGATTGCTGTGACGGTCACAAGTGTGAAAAAGTGTGAAAAGTTTTGTTTTAATCAGTGCTGTTGTAATTTCCAAAA